GGGATGGACTGGGATGGATGGGGATGGACTGGGATGTGCAGGGATGGATAGAGATGGACTGGGATGTGCTGGGATGTGCAGGGATGGACTGGGATGTGCAGGGGTCGATGGGGATGGACTGGGATGTGCAGGGGTGTTCAGGGATAGACTGGGATGTGCAGGGACGGACAGGGGTGCTCAGGGATGGATTGGGATGGTTGGGAATGTGGAGAGGTGTGCAGGGATGGACTGGGATAGACTGGGATGCTCAGAGATGCTCAGGGATGGACAGGGATAGTTGGGGATGTGCAGGGACGGACAGGGGATGCTCAGGGATGGATAGAAATGGGCTGGGGTGTGCAGGAATGGATAGGGATGGTTGGGAATGTGCAGGGATGAGCAGAGGATGTGCAGGGATGGGCTGGGGTGCTCAGGGATGGATAGGAATGCTCAGAGAGGCTCAAGGAGATTTGGGGGTGCTCAGGGATGTGCAGGGATGCCCTGGGATGTTCAGGGATATTTGGGGGTGCTCAGGGATGTGCAGGGATGCCCTGGGGTGTTCAGGGATATTTGGGGGTGCTCAGGCTTCCAGTCTGGCTGTGGCTGCCCCTGCCCCAAATCTCCCACGCAGGGACTCATTGTCCTTGGGCTGCTGGGGAAAGCCAGGAGTGTTCTGGGGAAGGGACAGGGCTGGATTCTCCCTGCTGGATTCTCCCTGCTGGATTCTCCCTGCTGGATTCTCCCTGCTGGATTCTCCCTGCTCTGTCACTCCTTTCCATCAGAAACCTCTCGGGCTCCACGAGCTGCTCTGCTGCTCCCTGAGCTCCTCCTGCTTTTCCACCCCCAAGATTCCCAGCCCTGGAGCCGCTGGCTGCTCCTGGAGTGGCCAGAGAAGGGGTTTGGAGTGCAGGGAGATGTTGCCACAGCAGGAGCTCACACAAAATCCCAGGAAACCCCAGCAGGGGTGGGAGAGGGATTTTTATTCCCTCTTTTTCTGCTGCCATTGTGCAGCTCTCGGCATCCCGTGGGATGTGATGGACGCACCAAAGGCCGGGCAGGGAATGGGATCCGAGCTGGAAGATTTTCCCT